CCATAATAGAAATATCAAAAGGACCTCTAATGGTCAGTGGCCTATATTAAAATCCCCTTAAACATTTCCATCTTTAGGATTTGTCCTGGTGCGAACTTGACAGACACAAAGACCAATCACTAATTATTTGGACTTGTTATATACCTTCGAGTACGAGACTAAGAAAGAACACGATAGCGTAATCGGATGGAATAGTATATTTGGATGGTTGTGCCGAGATACCGATGCGATCCGACTAACCGGCTAGAGAGTCGATTACGAGAAGTGCAACGTAAAATGACAGCGTGCCAAACGGCGAGGAAGTTAGACCAGGTGCCTTCAGCTTAGCGAGTCCAGTTAAGCTATCAATGTCGAATGTCGTCAAACCCTAGGCCATTGATTTTGGGGAAGTGAGTGACGCTACACATCCATGTATGTGGTGGCTACCCTATCGTTTCCCCAATAATGTCGCCTAATTGTCCACGTTTCCCCTTTATCGAGCTTGTCACGCCTTTCAGAAACAGCGTTTCCATCAAAGTCTACTTTTGCCCATTACTTCCCCATTTTTAACAATTTCCCCCCTCATTTCCCCTTTATTGCTGACTGGATGGGGTTTGTAGGATAGCCATTTAGTAAACATGGAAAACATAACGACACAAATCATCTGGCATGAAATCTCACCTTAAATTGCAGATCATATGCCCCCTTACGTGGATTTCGTAAATTGTTGGCAAAGCGAGAAGAAAATTCACATCCGGGTGATCCAAAGGTAGCGCGTTTATCTGAGGGCACTCGATACTTATTTCTCGATAGACACCAACATTTTGATGTAATAAAACAAACCTGCGTGGTCTCGCAAAAGTGGAGTGAAATCACAAATAAGGTAGTTACAGATGCAAAAGATACAACAAGATGTGAGAATTTGAAAACGCAGCTCCGCTGACGGTTTTTCAAACGACTTTTCCCAACGCCGCTTGTACTAGTAATGAAAGTCACTTTATTCCGGACAATATTTTTGACTGAGTATACATTCTCAGCATGTAATGTGTGTATAAAGCGTGCATACAGTTACACAAAATTTCTTCTTACGATTTCCACCAGAAAAGGCTTGTACTTTTGATGTATCAGCCATTTAGATTACAGTTGCATAAGCCTAGGAGTTTGATTCACTCAAAGACCGACTTGAATCTAACTTTTAGTGGTCCGATATATAGACTACATTTTGTTGTGGCTAGTCCAAAGGTGATGAATTTGTGAATGTGCTTTTACAACTGGTGTGTGGCGGCGAAAAGTACGCAAAATCTACAGCTTAGAGTTCGGTGAGTTTCGACGTTGATGCTCACTTTCAAGGTTTTAGCGGCCTGGTTAAACTCAGAGCACATGGTCAGACGTCCACAACATCCTGTGAGCTTTCTTGTTACTTTGTGTGGCCAAAACGCACCTCTCTAGTTGGCTAGTCGAAGTACATCTCTATTTCTGAGCGCCTTATCAAGTACACTAATCGCTTCGGTCTACGCTGTTGTGTTCTTTCTCGATCTCGCACCCGTTGATCATCTGCCTTCTTTTTGTGCCTGTGCATCTTCTCACCTATAGCGTCCACTTATCTGCAAAATGAACCTCTGTTTCCATGTGAGAGGAGATTCATAAACTCATCCTTATCTAACCCGCAATGCACCCGACACAGCTCATGCCATTCTGACCAGACGACTCAGGAACACGGTTTTTGTACTCGGAAGCTGAGTTTCAAGGACGGGGCGTTGCGGATCTTCCTTCAGAATTTCTTGCTGTCCTACGATCATGGCTGCAGGGATCGCACAGGCAAGTTACAGCACATACGTTTAACCCTGAAATAAGTGGGTCTCGTGCACTGCTCAAAGCAGCCATTCTGAAGAAGAGAGGTCTCAAGGATCGTCAGTGTTTAGATAAATCGCCCTGCAGCGGCGAGCTAGGGGACACTGTAGCTACTCAAGTGCTCGCTAGAATATGAGAAGCTATCGGCCAACAGGCATTCGGTGGTGGCTTTTTCCTCCAGCGTTTTCTTGAGGAGCTGCCACAGACGGTGCAAGCCGTTCTGATGACACTTCAGTCATTCGTAACCGATGACCTGGCAGCATCGACTGATAAAATATTGGAGATTCCCGGCAGACTCGCTCCCAACGTATGTTCTGTTAATGGAAAGCCCGCCCGTTCGAATTCAGAAACAACAGAACCATGCAACTCGGCCAAGCAGCTTCTATGAACTCAAGGCCCTAGGTCAAGACATACGGCACAACGGCGTGTTTCATTCCATCGCAGCATCTTACGTGGTCATTTAACAGCCAAATATATCAAGGTAGAGTATTTCACATAATCTTGATTCCACAAAACCCATTACGATCAAGCTTTATGCCGTTGGCAAACGCCAGACCATTCCCAACTGTTACTATTCCTTCCGGGTACCATATACAACGGCGAAACAAATGAGTTCTTCGATGCTTTGCCAATGTGGAGTTCGTGCATGCAGTCCAACTTTATGCTGAACATCTCTAGCTTGTTAGGGTCCATGTACCCGGCTTCATATTTCACAGGAGTTCCGGTAGCTGTATAACTGTAGGCTGAAATATCGCTTTCGCATGGTATTGTATTTGTGAGAGGTCTGAAGCTTGGATGTTTGTTGCTGCGATGGAATGAAACACGCCGTTGTGCCGTATGTCTTGACCTAGGGCCTTGAGTTCATAGAAGCTGCTTGGCCGAGTTGCATGGTTCTGTCGTTTCTGAATTCGAACGGGTGGGCTTTCCATTAACAGAACATACGTTGGGAGCGAGTCTGCCGGGAATCTCCAATATTTTATCAGTCGATGCTGCCAGGTCATCGGTTACGAACGACTGAAGTGTCATCAGAACGGCTTGCACCGTCTGTGGCAGCTCCTCAAGAAAACGCTGGAGGAAAAGGCCACCATCGAACGCTTGTTGGCCGATAGCTTCTCATATTCTAGCGAGCACTTGAGTAGCTGAGAGGGGCTAAACCATATAGGGCTTAAACCCTCAATAATTATGGAAGTATTAAGGAAACTGAACCCCATTAAGTCTCCAGGAATCAATGGGATTCATCCAAGAGCACTCAAAACGTGTGCTGAAGCTCTGTGCGCCCCACTAGCAAACCTCTTGAATGCTCCTTTCTGGAAGGCAGGTTACCCTCTGATTGGAAACAGGTGGCTGTCGACCCAATTTATAAAGTTGAAAACAAACTGCTTGCCCCCAATTAAGGACCGATCTCCCTGATCCCTTCAAAACGGAAGGTCATGGAGAGAGCCAAAACTGACTCGCTTCATGATCACTTCAGAAATCAATCCTAAACGACTGTCAGCATGGCTTTGTACCAGGTAGGTCATGTAACACCATCTTGTTGATAGCTTGGAATAGCTGGACACTCTCTATCGAGAAGAAAAAGCCTATACAAATTGGTTTACTTGACTTTTCGAAGGCCTTTGACAGGGTAAATCAGGATATCCTTTGTAAGAAACTCCAGCTCATGGGGGTACACGGAAAATTATTAATCTGGCTTGGAGATTATCTGTGCACCAGGATGCAGTCAGTTAGAGTTGGCTCCTCTCTATCTAATTGGTTCCCGATGCTGAGTGATGTGCCTCAAGGTTCTACCCTAGGCCCACTACTGTTTCTTGCTTTGATCAGTGATCTGCCAGGGGTCCCTAATTCACATTCACCATTATATACCGATGATCCGTAGATTTGGGGGGAAATACAGGAGCCAACGGATATTTAGATCTTCCAGGAGGACCCTACGAAAATCCTTAATTGGACTACAGAAAACCTGCTTCCTCTCAACTCGAAGAAGTGTCGAATTATGATAGTTGACAAAAATAAAGGCAGTCCGACTTCTTACTCTCTAGGTGAAATAAATACCTGTCACTCTAATGTGGAAGAAGGTCTAGGAGTTGCATTAAATGATACACTAGGAGCCTCAGTCCACTGTCGCCTTGCAGCCAATAGGGCTTATGGAATCCTGGGGTTTCTCTCGCGAACCTTAGGGTGTCTAACTCCTTCTCTTTTCACCATAGTGTATGCTCTGTACACTCGTCCTCATTTAGAAAAAATTAGCTTGTGATGTCCCCATACTTGAGAAAGAACATACCCATCCTAGAAGGGGTAAAGAGAAGAGCTACAAAGAAATTGATTGGGTTGCGGCACAAACCGTACCCAGACCGCTTAGTTGCTCTTCAGCTGCACCTAGTACAATACCGGGGATCAGAGGGGATATGATCATGATGTATCACATCGCCCATAATCCCCTCCATCCCAACAGATCCCTTCTAAGCTCTAGTCGGAAACGCGACCTGAGGGGTCACCTGTTAAGAATAGAGCATGAGAGAGCACGTACAAAGATCAGTGCTAACTCATTTGCAGTTAGAGTCTGTAAACTGTAGAATTCCCTCCCTTCAGCAGTTGTTACAGCTCCATCCCCTGAAACTTTTAAATGGAGGTTAGACGCAGACTTCGAGTCCTACGGCAGTTTTTAGTTGAGTTTAATAACATTCCGCCAGTATCACTCAGGGCTAAAGTCTCGCAGATATTTTGAGATATATCAACGTGATGAAGCCTGTAAACTGGCTCCCCTCATGTTAAACTCTTTTAACGGGTGCATAAAACATTTATTTATTTAAGGTACCGATGGCCTGCAATCAAGAAGCTTTCCCTAGATCAGGTGCAGTGATACTACCTTGTAACCAGACTAATTAATAATCGTATCTCTATCCTTTCAGGTTCCTAAGAGTCGGGAAGATAATTGTGACCATTCCAAACTCAAAGTATTCCAATAAGACAGACGTAGAACCCAAGGAACCGCCCTTCACTAATTCTAGAACACGAAGTTTGAAGTTTGAAATTCTCACATCGCGTTGTATCTTTTGCATCTGTAATTACCTTATTTGTGATTTCACTCCACTTTTGCGAGACCACGAAGGTTTGTTTTATTACATCAAAATGTTGGTGTCTATCGAGAAATAAGTATCGAGTGCCCTCAGATAAACGCGCTACCTTTGGATCACCCGGATGTGAATTTTCTTCTCGCTTTGCCAACAATTTACGAAATCCACGTAAGGGGGCATATGATCTGCAATTTAAGGTGAGATTTCGTGCAAGATGATGTGTGTCGTTATGTCTTCCATGTTTACTAAATGGCTATCATACAAACCCCACCAAAGATAAACATCTGCATTTAAAAGCATAGATGTCGATTACAATTTGTTTAAAGGGCCGACTGCATGGTTTGTTCTTGCACATTGATACTGATCTATGTTTATTGCCTGAACTTGATGCCACTTACATAATTTGATGGATGTTCGTCACAGCTGTTTACCGATATATATTTCGTGAACGAAACGTCAGTGAATTCTTTCTCTTCTCATCACAGGAAAATTAATACAGAGTTTCTCAAGCTTCGTAGATTTTTAGCACAAGAAGTCAAAAATTCGTATTGAGTCCGCAGTTGGTGGGGTAGATATTAGTAGCGATTTACGAACTAGAGTTCGGGAGCTAAATTCGGATATAAAGTTTGCGTAGTTGAAAGTGGGGCTTTAGTGCCTAACCTTTCAGGTGCAAGTTGGCTGGTGAAAAACAAACAACTGACGAGGGACTACTCACCGATTGCCTTGTTTTTTTCCAGTCTTCTAAGTTTCCCAACTCATGTAGGGTTAGGTAACGGGGATTATAGAGTTAGAATTAAGTCTAAGGGTTGGTGTTGGTGTGCGCTTCTTGATTCCTAGCCATTATCTGTGATGAGCAATTGGAAAATCGCTCAGAACGACCAAGTCGCGTAAGACGTCCATGTGCAAGAAGATTCTTTTTGGTTTCGTTGGAAATATGCCCAAGTAATCCAACTGAAATTCGTGTTACCTTAAGAGCAAGATAGTTGGCTTTAGTTCCACGGAGTACGATTCTTGAGTAGACTGGGGGCTTTTTCTTGAACAGGCGGCATCGTTCTTATTCTCATGTAATTTATGATTCCTGAAATTATCCGAAATCTGAGAGCCCAGAATCCAGTCGAAGCTAATCAAATTGTTGTGTTTCTACTAAAATCCTTGTTCAAATCTCGCCTCTCATTAGTGCATTTGATGTCCAACCGTTTTGTCGTGTATCTTTTTGGGAGTAGAATGTATTTCGAGGGTTTCAGTTGTACCTCAGTTTTCTTATGACAGTATTATTTTGTTTCTATACCATGACCCAGCCAAGTTTATAATTCGACATAAAGTAGACAGAGCATTGGGAAATATTGTCTACTGTGTCCCTGAGAAAGATGTATTCATAAAGTTACCACACAGTGGTGAAGCTAATAACTTGATAGTTATACAGAGTCCTAACGTTGCCGTCAATAAGACATATTATACAGCTAAGGTGCGAATAGTTGGGAATTCGAAGCCGTTAGGAGAGGTGGAAAATAAAGTCACAACGCATTGAGTTTACCAATTCAAATGTACATGTGGTAACAAATACACAGGAGAGACTCACTGACCATTGAAAATAAGGGCATCACAACACATTCGAAATTGGCTTCAGAAACAAATAGAGTTGCTTGATGCTAGAAACAAACGTCCTGGTTCCTCAGTGGCTAAACATATTATGGTTGTGCAAACGTGATTTAGGCCTATCTACAAGACCTGTTGGAGAAGTATTTTAAAGTTTGTTGAAGTATTAGCCATTAAAAGGTTTAAGCCACCTTTATGCTTTCCGAAACAATTTTTCATGACATCCGGCGTACTGTCATGCTCAGAGAGTCCTACAAATATCACTTCATGAGATTTATTTCTTTGAAACTGTGCAAAATTGTTGGTTTCATCTGAGTTTTAGGTGGTTGGTTGTATATTGTATTGGAAAAGACTAGGTAACTGTGAATGTGATGCTTACGTCACACGTGACAACAAAGCTGCTGAGTTTGGTTCTGAGTGAGGATACGACCTCTTAACTACAAAGAACCTAGAACCAGTGCATGCCTGCTACATCATATTATACAAGGGAGAGTCGGCGATTGGGAAGGTAGTGGAGTGAAACTAGGAATGTTGGAAATTGCTGTAAGATTTATTGCAAGCTACCATCATGCCCAACACTAGTGACGAAACGTTTCAGCAATGTGTGGTTAAATTGTTGGTGACTTGGCTTTAAACTATATTTAATTTTGAGTTGCCAAGTGATTGTACGATGATTGTAAACGAGGGTGTCATTCAGGGAAGACAAGAGACCATATAGTAATGAAGTTGGATAGGAAATGTGTTATGAGCCATGCCTAAGAATGTGAGCGGTTGTATAAATTGAGCGATTTGTGTGCATGTTTGTAGGAAGAGGGCTCGAACAAATCTGAGCGATTTGTTTGATCAATGTTGAAAACCAGTTTTTATGGCAAAGGTCTATTCACTGTTTGACAACTTCTCAAGCTGGAACATTTCTACTGACCTTGATTTTCAAATTCCCCCCCCTATACATCTTTGTCTACTTTGATGTCATTCTTTTTCTACACATTTATCTTTTGTATCCTATTGTGAATCACGGCAACTTGTTTACTTTTTAACGTTGCTATTCATTTTCTCTTATGTTTCTGCCTTTTTTATTTCCGCTGCAACTGTGTGACCATCCTGTGCACTATCTTAATATTGGAGTTCAAATGTCCACTCATATGTGCATAATTAAGTCATATCAGTGAAAATGTAAACAACTTCCAACCGTGTTGGGTATTTATGAGTTGTTGGTTATCACCGTTTGCAGTGAGTTGTTTATCGTTGTAGTGGCTGCGACAGAGATTGTATTGATTTTCGTCTGATTATTTTGCCTGAAGTACATGTATGTGTTGTCATTGGATGCAACATTTCTGATGTTGTTCGATTGTGTACTTTTTCTCTTGTCTCATGAAGTAATCTTTCTCGATTTTCCGAGATATCATTTCTTGGAATTTTATTATTTCCTTGAGTTATTTACTGTTGATTTGAATGATATTTGTATTTTTCTATGATACATTTTATCATTTGCTGGTTTTGTGAGAATGTTTGTGCAGCCGTCTGAATATATGGTAAAATGACTTCTGCTCTAGTTATCGTTTTGGATTTGTGTGAAACCAGTTCAGTTCACTCGATAATTTTCGAGTCTTCATTTCCACCTTTGTTGACGGTATATTTTGTCAGTCGCTTCCTCTTACTTTGTGCTTTTGTCAATAGTTTTCAGTGTACTAGCACGCTGGATGTGGTGTCGAAGCATTTTTGGAAGCAATGATTTTCATGGTGTAATAGATTTTATTTTTAAGATGTTCAGTGGACTTATCTTTTTTCATGGAGGATGGTTGGTGGGTATGAAGTGTATTAAAATTTTTGTGTCAGTCAAGCTCATCTGGTAGTCTCAAAGTTCTACATGCTGAAATATATGAGAGACAAATGTTGTTATATGAAGAGTAATGTTTCCGGTGATGAGGAATCCGTTTTATCCATTCATGCTTTACAAAACATTTTCAACGAAATGATTTCTCATAACTGTTTGTAGAAAATCAGAATAACCTATGCATCTTTTGAAGGATAAAAGAGAAAGAATAACGCTGAGAACTATGAAAGTAGATAATATTTTTAGAAATATATTTCTTATACTCGCAGTATTGATGCAGCGTATCTAACCTGAATAAGTGTTGTATCTATGACAAGTCATGCAGATGTTAAAGCTATGTAAACAATTTTCTTATGAGTAAATTAGCTTCTAGATCTAAGGTTCTTTTCTCTCATTAAATGAACTAGTATTGACGGAAGTCAGAGTCAGTCACTTGTCAACCATAAACTGTGACAAACATTTAGATCGAAATATTGAATAGGTATGAAAGGAACTTTTTGTCTGTTAAGAACTAGACTGTGAGATGCTGTGTGAATACTAATGACACTGTGTGACTATCGTGATTCTAGTAGGTGGAGTAGAGGTTGCACTCGTGACCCGTTGGTTGAAAGTCAAGTTCCTGGATCAATTAGCCACAAGTCTGTGAACTGTGTACTATAGCCTAGTAAAACCGGTTTATATTGTCTAACATGGAATGTTTCAGCATGAATATTTGGCAGAGTTTGTTGACTTTATGGGTTTAAATAGTCAGGACAGGTGTAAACTGGCAATAGTTTAGTATAATGTTGAGGTATTTTTCTGTAGAATGTAAGAAAAGTGTATGTGATGGATGATTTGAAGAAGTTGTGGCTGTGTTGTGTATTTTGGGTTGTTGTTTGTCTGCATTTGCATTTAGTCGTTACTCTATGTGGTGGTGGAAGACAGATTGTATTGGTTTTGCGTGAGTACGATGCCGAAAGGAAGTGTACTTGATGTTGGTTGTAGACGACATTGTTGAAGTTGTCCGTTTGTTTCTGCACCTTTTATGCTGCAATAAATGAGCTTCATGGAATAGGTTTATAGAGGAGATGGCTAGTTACACAATTGGGTTGTTCATATTTTTTCTGATGTCTCTTTTCAAAGAGGGAGTAGCGTTGAGAAATCTCCTAGTAAACTGACATTTCAGTTGCTTTTTCGACTTGTTTTTCAGTGGGAACTACGTATGTTGTCTTAACAGCATGTGTAGGATCTTGGGGAACAACTGTTGAAGGTATTGTTACTGGATTATGTGACTGTCATAAACATGCTCAAACAGCATTTCTTGATGTTTGAACTTGTAGAAATATCTGAGTAGTTTCCACAACTACTTCATGTCAATTATTTTGTGAACTAAGTGATTTATTTTATCATTCTGATTGACTCAGAGGGATTTCACTTGTGAAATGTTTGTTCTCAAACCCTTGTTTATGGTTCCATCTAATGCTTATAAAAATCGAAATGTCCAAATTACTAAGTCATGGGTTGATAACTATTGCTTGGGATTATTTTTTGTTCAGCACTCCTATTCTGGATGGAATTTACCAAGAAATCAGTTTTAAACAATCGTTATAGTGTCATAGGTTTATTTGAAGGTGAGATTGATGTAATAGCAGGTGATTGAAGAGTAGTGTACCTGATGGTTGGATCGATACTGTAAACTTGATGTGATGTCAGGCACATAAGCGAGAGGCTGATTCTGTTTTTAACTCGTTTTTACCTTACTGTTCTTGTTAGTATTTGCTTTTTCAAGCCATTTGTCTATCCACTAAGTATATGTCGGTCGCAGAAATGCTTCACATACACTTTCTATTTTTAGAGACATAGAGGTTTTTGCATTTCTGTTTGAAACTGAAATTGTGTTCCTGTAATATGAATTCGATTTTCAAGTGGAACCCTGCTGGCTAGTCTACATCTTCCTTCATGGCTGAAACCAAGAATCAAGGAAATCATGCAGTGATGCCATGTTTATGTGTGCCCGTTCTGAGCCTTTTTCCAGGCTGAACGTAATTCAGCCAACAATCCTAGTTAGAAATAGGAATAGTAATCTTTGGATTGTTCTATGATGTGCATAAGTAACCACCAACTAAAAGGGGTGACCTTTCTCCAGGATTTTTTATCGGATCATTACTTATGGCAGTTTTCCTCTGTCGCCAGTATTACTTATAAACTGTGGAGGATGGTATCCCGACCGATAGCTGCTACCTTGACGTGGTGGTCGGGCTTGCATATCACAATGACCCAACGAGCTATGCTGGTGGAACGCTTGTTCCCTCTAGGTCCTACCATACCAGAAAGGTCTGTTGGATAGTGGTTAGATGAAAAGCAGTTACCGTTATTGTGTAAATTGCTACACTATGATGGGGGTCTGAGGGCTAAGTCGTACTGCTGCTAGCTGGATGGGGTGTGACAGCAGTAAGGTGTTTCCCTTGGATGACCAGCAGTGTCGTGATGATGCTGCCTTCTCAGTGGAAGGGGGGTTAGAAAAGGTCGGCCCCAAAAATAACACACTCCACCACGCCTCACGGTCTGCCGGGCCGGCGGTGTTGGTTCATTTGTCGTTTCCTTTCGATCATCCGGCCCCAAAAATACAAAAGTTCAAAATAATCATACTCAAAAGGCTTCGTGTGACAGGACTCAAGCAGATGTTTGATGGGCTCTGCGGTCACACAAATCTCTTTCAGGTACCATAAAAAGAAATAGCCTTCCACGGTGTGGGCAGCCAGGAAGTGTCAAGCGCCCTCACAACTGTGTCAGCACTCATGTTTCTTCTGACTGCTATCCTCCTCCTCCATCATTACCTTCTAATCTTCCTTCACGTCTCTTAATTAATGATGAGAGGATGGTATGTCAGCTGTAATCAGCGTCTACATCGTCGAACATAGATCACTGTTGTCTTACAAGAGAGAAATAAGATGTTATATTTCAGCTTAAGAACAAAATAGACTGAGCCAATAAGTATCTTTCTTAGTTTTTAATATTTATTCCGAAAGAGTAAATTTTTTTCACTACCAGTGTGCATAGTACCTTAAAATATTTGGAGTGTGTGGTATACGCTTTACAGCATAACATGGTTTGTTTCTACAGTGAACTTTCTTGTCATCTCTGTAGTAGTGGTAGTGTGCTTAATTTGTAGATAAAATTTTCAACTTAATTATCTCTGTTGTTATTTCATTGTAGAATGTACCAAACATTCAAAGGGACAAAATGATCAACACTTCTAACTATTCGTCTTCATCAGTTATGCAAAATTTAAAACCTGAGTCATCAAATTTTTATGTTGGCCTTACTCTTGCTTATTGTCAACAATCTTTATTGGAACTAGTTTCATATTTAAGAAGCTTGCACTTCGTCGTGCTTCTAGGAATGGATCTAGAGCTGGTGAGTTCCTAGGAGTATTTTGCTTGCTTGAAGTAGACCTTTATCCATTCGGAGTATTATTTTTATTTTTATTTATCTAGTTATCATAACGTGTCTGGTAAGGCATTGATTAGTTCCTAGAACGTTATCAATACCATATTTTGTAGTCCCAATTTCCGAAATTGTAACAAGCTGGAAGACGAAACATCATAGCTTATCCTAGTTGATGTTTAATAGCTGCAAGCAATCAGCATAAAGCCCCACCATACACCTCAACATATGATGTTAACCGGAGTGAGATTAGGTTTCGAGAAACATAAGAGGGATTAGATTAATGAGTGACTTCAGGTCATGAAGTCTGTAACTGTTGTTACGAGTTGTGTAGGTAGATGTAGACTGGCTGACTGGAGTCCCCGAGAAGATAGGATTTACTAGTTGAATGTTTTTGGTTATATGGTTCAAAATCAATCAAGATGTTGGTTATGTGTATACATTTCGTTATCTTAGAGTCTCAAATGTTTTCATTAGCCTTTATAATACTTATTCTCTCTTCGTTCATACACCTTTGTCTCGAATGGAAGTAATGTACTTTTGTGCCAGAGTTTAAGTTGATTTACCTATCCGTCTGTTTACCCTACAGTCAAGTAGCATATTGATATTCAGCGATATTAATCATTGTGATACTGAGATATTTACTATTTTTTTTACTGTTGGAAGTCTAACTACCATTAAGCTTAATACCTTTTATATCTTTGTCGCCACTTGTTGCAACTTTGTTGTAACTTTTTGTATTCTTGTAGTGACTAGTGGATATAACTCAAGTTATATATATGTACTTGTGTGATTCAACAATAAATAACCTTCATCCCATGCATCCCCTGATAGTCGCTCATTTTTCTTGATAAATGGAACAAGGAGGTAAGATGAGGGAAGGTGTATTGTACCGTCAAAAAATATATGCAAAATACATTATTATTATCATTATTATTGTTGTTATTTGCCCCTTGGGTTCCTAATGGAACATAGGGCTTCAGTAGCACGTCCCCATTCCACTGTCTTCTCTCCAATCTTTCAACCTGGCTCCACCACTGCCCACAAGCTCTCATTCCTTCCTCACACTATCTCCTCCATGTCACCCTCATCTAGGACGCCCAATTCGTCGTTTCCCATCTGGGTTACACTCCAGGTCCTGGCCTGACGCGTGATGTCCCCAGTCGACCTTCTCAGTGTATGCCCAATCCATCTCCACTTCCTTCCAGTGCATATTTGTTGAGTGATATCTTCTTGTTTCGTTGGTTCGTTGCCAGACAGCCAGAGTTCCTCCTTGATTATTCTCATTATTCTGGCCATCTGATCTTTAGTATCGAGTGAGCGTAGGCAGTTGTTGATGAATATCTGTAGTTTGTTGGAAATGTCTTTCGTAACGCGTCAAGTCTCTGAACCCTCACATAGAAGCACTGATTGACTTGACTGAATTGGTGTTGAAAATCCGAATGTTGTTCACGCTTTGTGCTGAGTGCAGAAGATCTCCACATATGTTTCAGGTTGATGAATGCCTGTCTTGCTTTTCCGATCCTGGCTGCCTTTGACGTCCTCATCAGTGCCGCCTGTAGTTGAAACAGTGCTGCCTAGATATGTGAGAGGCTACTTCCTTTAAGTTTCTCCCGTTGATAGTGATTGGAGCTTGTTGTTTTTGTTGGTGGTGTTGGTTGGTATCATCGTCACATCTGTCTTCTCTACGTTCACTTGAAGTCCCGTCTTCCCTGGCTGCCCTGCCCTGCCCTGCCTCTTCTGTCAACTTGTTAGTTTTTGCCTGTAGATCCTCAAGTTTATGTGACATCAGACACAAGTCATCGAGGAAATCCAAGTCTTCTAGGTTCTTTTCCCTAATTCAGGCAGCGTATGCCCATCTTCTCTCTCGTCACTATTTGTTGCATGATCCAGTCGACCACAATCAAGAATATCATGGGTGATAGTAGGCAGCCTTGCTTCACTTCTGTCTTCACTTCAGAAGCATCACTGAGCTTCCCATTGTGAATTACTTGGCTGGCATGTGGCGTCTTCATATAGTTGTTGAATGAGGCTGATAAAGGTTTGAAGCACTAGAACCGTAGTGTTGAAGCAACTGCCTGCTAAATTACTTCTCGGTTGACGCTGTCAAAGGCCTTCTCAAAGTCGATGAAGTTGAGGTAGAGTTGAGTTGACTGCCATTCTATACTCTGTTCTATGATGATGCTTGGCGTAGCGTTGCAATTTGGTCGGTACATGATTTGTACTTCCTGAATCCAGCCAGCCAGCCTGCTTGTTCGGGTCGTAGTTTTGAATCCAGTGCATCGTTTAGTCTCTCCAAGATGATGCGGCTTAATATTTTGCTTGGGGTGGACAGGGTTTATGTATATTGACAGTGTCCTTGGCTATTTCAGACCTTCCTAGATTTGAACATCATATTGATTCTTGTCCTTTCAACCAGTCTGATTATTATTATTATTATTATTTGTCCTTTGGGTTCCTAGTGGCACATAGAGTTTCAGTAGCGTGTCACAATTTCACTCTCTTCTCTGTAGTCTTTTGAACCTGGCTACACGACTACCTTGAGGCTTTCATTTCTTCACATCATCTTCTCTATGTCACCCTCGGCTCAGATGCTCGACTCGTCATTTCCCATTTGGGTTCCACTCGACGGCCTGATGTGTGATGTCCCCAAATGATCTCAGTGTATACTGAATTCAGTCTGATATTTACACGTTATTTCATATGTTTTTATCCCAAAACTTCAGAATAAAAGGATTGTTTAGGAGAAAGCTCCAGGGGTTCATGGTTTCTTATGAAGATTTCAGTAATCTTATTTCACACTAAAACAATACCTTAGTTGATTTAAGCTGTACCCTTATCTCCTTCCTTCCTTATTTTACTAGTCTTTTATTTTCATATATTTCTCTTTCTGTATTATGATGATGGATAGCAGCCTGAACTGCTGTGATTCTACGCAATGTTCTAAGTTGCACTGTGGATAGTCTATATTAAATAACTAAATTGTATAGAAAATCAAAGAGTATTTTCAGGTTGCCATGGTATCAACGTTCAAAATTCATGGTTTTAATTGATTTTTTTCAAATCTAACCTACTCGGATCTCAGATTGTAATCTTCTTTGTCTAATATCTACAATCAATCAGTGAATAACTATGGGTGTAGTGTTCTTGTTGAAAGTTACTCATCAATGATGAAGATTATTTGTAGCTTAATTGTATGATTTTGATTGTGTTACGCTCTTTAATCTGAATAGTTTCATCGTGAAACTTTCAGTTCCTTTCTGAACATCGTCATCATCACTGACTTCAGTATGTATTGAGCCACCTGACTTTTTCTGTAAATGAGTGATTAGGCTTACCTAAACAAAATAGTTTGTAGTTGGCAGTTCTTTTTGGTTGTTGTGTCATTGGTTATATAGATTTTTGTCATAACCCTTTCCCTGCCTGATGGGATCTGATCTTAAAGTGAAGATCACAGTAAGGGACTTCAAAACCCGGTGGTCGCTGGTTCTTATCGATTGATAGATTGTGTCTGTATTTATACATGTGAATAGCGAACGAAACAGCAACTAAAAGAAATAACCAATCACAAACCATTTCGTCAAGGTAATCTACTGACTCACTAACAGAGATATTATCATAGTTCACTTCATATTGAAGTCAGTGCTACTGATGTTGTCTAGGAAGACAATGGAAGGTTCATGTTGAAACCATCCAGCTCAGAGAACTCAACATGTATGAAACCTATATACAGTTTTGTCTTGGCTGTGTCATGGAAGATATTACATTTGAGTTATTGGAACTATAGTGAAGCCTAACATGACAGTTATTGTCATTTCAAGTGGATCGGTGGCTCAGTAGTCTAGATACTCGACCTCCAACCTTCGAATTACAGTTTCAAACAAGGATCAACTTACCGAGGTTTGGATAGTCACATAGTGTCATTAGCCTTCATCACACACTAGATGTGACCCATTGCTTATTGCACAAACATGCAGATGGTTGCTACGTGCATTACGATTTTATTGACACTTAGGGGCGAATTTGTCTTTTAGACAAATTTTTTAAAGATTATAGCATTCAGGTTGTGTAGACGTTCAGTCTTTTATCAGGAGGACTTTACCAACCAGTATTACTTTACTATTTCATTCAATATAAAGTTTGGCTAACATGATTAGAGTAGGCATTGTCTATTCTTAGAGGTCATTTACTGTGGAACATGTTAAAGCGAATTTACGGTCTATTTGCTAACCTTCATATTACCCAGGACTAATTTTTCGTTACCTTGATCATTTTTTGTATGCAAGTGACTTTCCTAATTCAGTATTGTCTCTGACTCGTGAAGTTGCTACATTACTCACGCAGGCGTAGAATAAGTTTGTTTATGAGGTTGTAAGCATTTATTGACTCACATGTCTACGAGATGTTTTTGTACATGCTTAGTCACCCATCGTCTCCCCAGTCGTACAGACTGACTAACAGACAAGGTCAGCGTAGAACCTCACACACAATTGCATCCCTTTAAGTTGCCACACTTCACAGTAGTGTACGAAGATCAAGCTAATAAAAAGAGACTGATACTAAAGTAGACAAAGTTGTGTCAGAGAATAAAGACTTTGAAGGTGAAGGTTAGTGGGAATACTCAAGAAGTGAATTCATCTACGCCATTGTGACAGATTTCCAGCCATTTCACCAGTATTCTTCAACCCCTGACTGTTGCCGTCTCAGGAACCCCTAGCAGGCAGTCCGCATCTCCCCACATGGCTTAGACTGACAGTCAGGGACTTCATGGAGTAGTGTCACATCGCGGTCTGGCCACTGTGAGCCCTCTTTCAATCTAATCCAGCTTCCCCTAACACACGCCACCTCGAGGTAGGCGGTGATGGCTTGGCATCCGCAGTACATGTCCAAGCCACCTCACTGACTGATTCACCTTCCTTACCTAGAACTCTTCGCCCGACCTCAACAATGCTCATGTAATGATTCCACCA